AGAAGCCTATGAACACTCAATAAGGTCATAGTTGTCACAGTGAAAGGAATGCAAATTGATAGAAAAATTACTCGCATAGCATAAAAATAATAACTAGGATGCTAGGTTTTTAACTGGTATTCTCCAGTTAGCCTACAGGAATAAAAAAAAAAAAAAAAAAAGGTGAGGGCAAAGGAGCAAATACGGAGATAAAACCATAAGGAATCCAGTGTGCATTGCTCCTCTGACTAAAAGGAACAATGTTCTCCCAAAGGCCCAGATCCTCATCCTCATGTAGCCACTTCAGCTCTTTTTCTATTGCTACCCTACAATGTTCACAGGCAGAAAACCGAAGCTTTTTGTGAGAAATAACAGAGGTGATGGATGTACTGCCAGCCCTCCCTGCTGTGGCAATTTGGAGCGGATGGTGCATTATGCACCATCTTATTTGCTGTTGTGATAAGCTTCAGATGTACCATTATTTACTACATGAGCCTGAGAAAATAACACAGGTTACCAATTCTGTTGAAGAGAGATTACAATAATAGAAATGAACACAGGGAAGAAGAGATGCAGACAGCTCTTACTGTGAGTCTCAATAAATAAACTAAACAGAGTATAAAAGGTCAATATTGAAAATTACTGACAAAAAAATCCCTTGTGCCAAAGAATATTAGTTTGGAAAAGTACAAAGAAAAAAAAATCAACCTGAACCCCCCACCCCCAAACCGTGCAAAACACAAGAATCTACACTCAAAAATACGCATTTTAACACTGTAAATCACTCCCAGAAAGAGAACAGTTAAACTGATCCAACAGTCATAGCTCCGGCAGAAGAAATCTAGCAAACCGAAGAATTTGCACACTAAATTGTATGTAGCTCTCTTCAGCCACCTGCATATCTACCAAACATAGTTCACTCATTTTCAGCTTGGCACAGCTGTTCTCAACTTTGAAGGAGCTGCAATGAAGATGACTGACAGGAGCCATCCTGCTTCTGACCATGAAGTCTCAGCATCAGTCAAGGTATACGTTTATGATGAATCTGTCTTCACAGTTGATCTCCACAGACAGCAAGGGAAGCTTTGCACAGAGAGGGACAGTCTAGTGCTCTTCTGTGGTGACTGAATTCGGTATTTTCAGAAGAATAAAGCAGTTAAGGCTCAAAAGGATTTTGAGTATCTTCTATTGCTTCGAAAAATCCCTGTCCCGATTCTTAGTCTGATTTCTGAAACCTGCTTTGTCTCTGCTGCATCCAACATTATGTAACGGAAAAATAGGATGGCCAAGAATTAACACTATTGCTGTCCAATCCTGATTTTCATTTCTGTCCTCATCCCACAACAGTGCAGAAATATAATCTGGTAAAAGATACCACACTGCACCTTTCTGACATACAGCTACTCCCGTTCTCCATACAAATTTACCTCTCGGTAGGAAAAAAGCTAGCTCTCCCAACTATTGACATTTCTATTTAGAAGTCAAACATGTATCATTTGTACACAGTCCATGCTTCCACTTCTTGAAAAAAAAAAAAAAAAAAGTTTTTATCTGAGAAGGAGTAGATTATATTGCAGCTGTCTCGCAATGCAAAATTTACCAAGTCTAAGATGATAAATTCAAGCTGCCTTTACCTATGTGCCTGGGGATCCAAAAGCTTTAGGCAGTAACTGGTCTCATCCTGGCAAGCATGCAAGCATGATTGCTTCATCTCAAACTGCTTTAATCTCAGGAGAGAGAGAGTTTGAAAACTAAGTTTGTACAGTTAGGCATGAGACATTTATCAAGGATAAGGAGTCCAGGGAAATCAGGTGTGACTCATAGTAAGGATTAGCTACTTCTAAATCAGTTCTTACCTATGTAGTTATGTAGAATTTGGTTTATTTTGTTAAAATCAAGGATGGCGATATTACTTAGCAGGAAGAATACAGTCTTCATTCGAAGAGGCCAAGCACTCACATTCAGGTTTTAATATTAGGAGGACTGCACAGGACGGTGTAAACTAAGGATAGAATAGTACCGTTAACTTCAACTGCTTACTAAGGACAATTTTTAGCATATTTCTCACTGAAATTACTTTCCAGTACCAAAATTTGGGTAGTACACAAAATAAATAATCCTAACTTCAGGCTAGATCAACAAAAGATTAAAGGCATGTTAAAGACTAAAGAGCTTAAATTCTGCTTAGTCGCTGCCCGAAGCCTGTACGAACTCTGCTTCATGCATTAAAGCCTTTCAGGGCCTTCAGATCCTCTTTGTGGATGTAGAATCATAGAATGGTTTGGGTTGAAAGGGACCTTTAAAGGTCATCTAGCCCAATGAGCCAGTCCCATCTTCAACTAGATCAGGTTCCTCAGAGCCCCGTCCAACCCGACCTTGAATGTTTCCAGGGAGGGGGCATCTATCACCTCTCTGGGCAACCTGCTCCAGTGTTTCACCACGCTCACTGTAAAAAATTTCTTCATCTGGTCTGACTCTACCCTCTTTTAGTTTAAAACTATTATCCCTCGTCCTATCACAACAGGCCCTGCTAAAATATTTGTCCTCATCTTCCTTATAAGCCCCCTTTAAGTACTGAAAAGCTGCATTAAGATCTCCCTGGAGCCTTTTCTCCAGGCTGAACAAACCTAACTCTCAGGCTTTCTTTAGAGGAGAGGCGTTCCATCCCTATGATCATTTTTGTGGCCTTCCTCTGGACCAACAGGTCCATGTCTTTCCTGTGCTGAGGGCTCCACAGCTGGATGCAGTATTCCATGCCCAGGATTGTCCAAATCTGGTGGCCGCAATGCCTACCTCAAACTGAAACACCCCTCAAGTTTCCTCCCAGCTCTCTTCTGAAGAGGTACTTTTAAATTTTGATCTACAGGTCATTCTGAAAGACGAGATGGGGCACTTCCAATTACTATTGCTATCACTGTTTTGCTCATGAGGGACAACTATTTAGCTGGACCTGGTCATTCAAATTAAGGCTGAGTCCAAATAACTCGCCTATCTGCAAATTTAAATGCCTCTACTTTCTGTAGATAGCTTATAACATAATCCACTTCCTAAGCATAGCCTGCAGTGCCCTTAATTTTTTGTGCTGAGGGCTCTTTACCTATAATGCAGAGTCCTGCAAAATACTGCAATAGTCCTCATGTAATGAAACTACTGCAAGCTTGCAGCTTTTGAAGTCATGGAGAAGCATGCAGTGAGGAACCACCTCTGTAGTATGCAGCCAACAGTTCTATGTTATACATGAGACGGGGCTGTGGAGCTTTCACAATGCTCCATCACCAAGACGTTACTGCTGCATCATCCCCGTTCCCCAGTTGCGGACAACAGTGTGAAAAAGATTCTTCTCTTTGACGTCTGATTATGTTATGTACATTAGCACTGTGTGTCAAGTTACTGTAATGCTGTGGAAACCTGAGTTCAGTAACCTAGAATGAGGCAAAAGTAAAAAAACAGGAACTGTAGCCTGTCAAGAAAGACTCATTCTTCTACAAATGGTACTAATAAGTGGATTTTGTAAATGTGCCTGAATTCTCAAAGATTATTTTAGTGGCCTACCGAACCACTCACCACTTGCTTTGCAGGCTATAACTGAATCTATAACCTTTCTCATATAATAGCACTGTATTTGTCCTTCCTAGGGAGGACAAAGACCACCCTATTCTACCTCAATCTAAAAACCACCTTCCATTTTCTTAAGAATGCTAGAGACTTCTGAGATGCCCACATTTGCCCAAGACACAGACTTCAGAGGAAGCAAACACAAATGCTCTTCTTAAGCGATGTGCAATACTTGGCTTGGTTAATCCAGTTTACTGCCAAGTGCTACCTGGAAAATTCAGTAAGCTGAGGACAGATAGACAGACTTGCTGTCTTAACAGAGAGCAAGGCAGCCATGCTGGCAGCACAGAATCAACCAGAGCTAGTGCACATCCAAAATCTGCTGTCTTGCAGCCCTCTCCGCTATTTCACTCAGAACATGTTGTCACAAAGACCATCCCAGCAGACAGCAGTAGAGCCAAACTTACAGCACTGTGTTCAGATGTACCATACTAACAGAATCCCAAGGGACAGTTACTTGACCAATTTTCCCAGTAAATGCTGCAGTTACAGGTAAACAACAGATTACCATGTGAGATTGTACAAGGGTTAATGGTGGCATTTATTGTTGGTGCACGCACATGTGTTCCAGTGCTGTTGGGGTTAAAGTTTTCAACCTGACGTAGTAATTTTGCTTCAGTTTTATTTGGAACTAGGACTGCTATATGATAGACATTCTTGCATAGATATGCTCATGTAAATGGCTGATACTGCAGAACTGTATTTAAGTGGAATTTATACCTGGGTTTTGAACAAGTACGAAAGCATCTACCACAGCTGACCATGTTCATGCAAAACACTAACAGGCAGCAAGTGGTGCAACACTTCTAAAACACACCTGCAGATCAGATGCTGTACTGAAACACCCAATAGCATTGTAAGAGCTAAAGGAAGAAAACCAAAAGTAACTGAACTCCTTTATGAATACATCCAAATAGTTCTGAGTTGACAGCATCAATTTAATCAACCAGATTCTTGCATTTGCTCTAAAAGATTCACATATTCTCATTTTGGATTGAGCAGCAGTTATGACATGCAGTTCTCTCTCAAGGGAATTGCACTCTGAAGCCTCTCACTAGAATCACACCATTGGGTGTTGTCAGCATGGCTTCTTCAGCTTCAGTAGACTTACTGTAGCCAACCCAGAGATATTTGTTTTAACTATGTTTATTAACACTTTGGAAACAGGAGAAAATGCAGAAGTATCTGGACAAAGGTTTACGATCACAGAATGCTTGAGGTTGGCAGGGACCTCTGGAGGGCATCTGGTCCAACCTCCCGCGCTCAAGCAGGGCCACCTACAGCCGGTTGTCCAGGACTACGTCCATGTGGCTTCTGAGTATCTCCAAGGATGAAGATGCTACATCTATGGGCAACCTGTGCCAGTGCTCGGTCACCCTCACAGTAAAAAAGTGTTTCCTGATGTTCCATTGCCTCTGGTCCTGTCACTGGGCACCACTGAAAAGGGGTTGGCTCCATCCTCTTTATACCCTTCCTTCATGTATTTACACACATTAATAAGATCCTCCTGAGCCTTCTCTTCTCCAGGCTGAACAGTCCTGGCTCAGACTTTCTTCATAGGAGAGATGCTCCAGTCTCTTCACCATCTTCATGTCCCTTTGCTGGCGAAGGTAAAACTTTACACTTAAAATAAAAACCCAAGACAACAGGAAGCATAAAACTGAGAAATCTAACAAAAAAAAAATATCCAAAGGTATAGAGAAGCAGTATGTTACTATCATGCCTCAAGAAAAAACAACAGCAAGACAGCAGGAACTGATCTAGGTATACAAAAGAAGGGTTAAGTCAGTATTACATTCTACGCTGAATATTTGTGCATGAATGTTCTTTATTGCATTACTGTCTTCTCTACAAGTGGATGTCAAAAATACAGATCCAGCACAACATCATTATGCTCAATTCCTCACATTATGACAATTCCTCACAGTGGCAGCAGGTTTTGACCAGAAGCAAGGTGAACTAAACTCAGACCAGTCATCTGAAAGTGAAGGATATCATGCTTCTCCTACGACTGCTACTCTCTGTGGCTTGTTTCCATAGCAGCGTTCACAGAAAACAGAACAAATCAACAAGACAATAACAATGCACACAATGCAAAGGAGCTGCAAACAAAATGCAGAAAGCCTATTTTATGGCTGCCTTAATTTTGCTTTAAATTATACTAGTATAGAACACAGAACACAAAATTTAAAATCTCTGATACTGGGATAAAAGAAAGCTAATCTTACATTGGTACTGTTTCATTTCAGGTACAGTAGGGCTCTGTTGGACTTGGGGCACATAATAACTGAGGGTATTAGCATCTATTCCTTGCTCATCACAGACTTACCAAGGCAACTTTGGGCAAGTTAACATCTCTCCTTCATCAGTGAAACATAAATTTTCTGCCTCATAGGCAAGACTAAAATTAATCTCTATAAACTGCTTGAATAGTCAGGAGTTTTATATTAAATATTAACATTAATATAAAGATTTTTAAACAGGTAAAATGTAAAAAAAGAAAAAACCCTTTCACTAACAAATCTTGAGCTATTACCTAAACCATATATAAAATCCCTCCAGAAAAAAAGACAAAAACACTTAACCATTTAATTACTTCTCTAACTTGTGAAGTTTACTTATTATTTCCTGCCCTCCAGAGTATATATGCAATTCTATACCTCTTTTCAGAACAGTAAACAACTGAAAAAGTTTCCATGACTGAACAAGCCAAACATGAGAAAAAGCTTGTTTGTGCCTGGGAGCAGAGGAGGCAGAAAGAACAAAAACAATTAAGGACAAACCAGGTTAGTAAGGAAGGCACTTACTAAAGAAAAAAGAGCACTTGCAATAATTTATTTCCTCTTCCTTTAGTTCTCAAAGGCAAGCAAGGGAGAAAAGAGATTTTCTTGGAAGATGGAATGAGGTCAAGGAGTTAACTCATACATGTACTCATCAAGACCTTTCAAAACATAATGGAAAGCCTAAAAGGAAAGATTTTTTTGGTGGAGAAAACAGGATTTAAAACAATCATTCAGATAGTCATAATTGATATGAAGCGGAAAATATGGAATGTGACCAAGCTGGAATAATATGTTGCGAGCCCTTAAATGCAGGAATGGAAACATGAAACAACCTATAGTACATCAACAGAGCATGTTAAAAAGGGAGCTAGCACCCAAAAGTAAGAAAGACAAGTAGGAATGACATATGCCTAAGTTTTAGTTTAAAATGTCTGTTAAGTTCAAAGCCCATGAGTAGTAAAACAAGATTAAGAAAAACAGTTTAATGCAGCATCAGGAAACACTGTAGGTTAAGGGGTGGGGGGCTTCAGAGCATTAGTTCTTCAACACTTGTATTCACACACAGATATTGGAATTATTAGCAGTTTGATGATACTGACGTACTGAAATACTGAAGAAATCCACCACACAGTCAATTATTTCGGTATTCAAGTGTGCCACGTAAATGCAAACATGATGTGAAAGCAACTGCAAATGCATATTAATTTAGGAAAACAGAGCTCCCTCAGTCCTCCAAAGGAGGCAGAAGTAGAGTGTGTCACAGAGGTAGATTGCTGACATCAATGGAGACCTTGGGCAGCCTTAAGTTTTAGTGTGAACTTCAATCCTATCATAACTAATTCTTTTATCACAGTTTTTCTGTGAAGAAGAGAAAATTGTGTAGCATAAGAAACAACTAATTCACATTATATTTAGATAATACATTTTTATGGTGACAGAATGAATGTTTGTTTCTGTTTATGGTAACAGAATGGATGTTTCATAATGCCTACTGCAAGAATTCAGGAGCCAATGAGTATAAAATGCAAAAGTTATTAAGATCAGTCTACACAGCAACACTAGAAGGGTTAACCAACACCCCAGTGTAAGTGCTCTTACACAAAAATTAAAGAATTTACAGTTACTTTATGGACAAGCCCTTATTCATATTTCACAGACAATACAAACCCACCATACATATACAGTACATAAGATCATAAACCAAAATTTTGTAGTAAGAACACTTGGGAGGTTTGTAAGGTTCTATTACCTGCATGCACTATAAAGCTTATTAAAAAAAAACTCAACACAAACAGCAATTCACTGAAATTAAGGTTTTCTTAACATCTCAGTGAAAGTATGAAACTCTGCAGACCATGACAAGTGGCAAATTATGAACTACTCTCACTTGTGTGCACTCTCTTTAACACACTTACATACTGTTGATTAACAAGTACTAGACTCATACCTATGAAAGTAAAAATCTGACCCTTAACTTTATGCTACTGACACTAAACCGATATTTGTGTATAAAAATATTTTTTTAAGTACATCTGTAAAACAAAACATACATTTCTATAGTTAAGGAAAAGAAAATTAATAAAAAAATAAATCAAAACTTCCCCTAATGTGTGCTCCATTAACTCTTGTAAACAACAGAGAATAAATTCAAAGGTAAATTATTGTGAACACTACTCTCTCCAGAGAAAACAGAGACAAAACTGGATTATATAAACAGTCTGCAACCTACATACTACATTTGAATTCTAGTCAGAAAATCTGGGAGTGACTTCTCATCTATTATATAAAACAGATGCCAAAGGAATGACATTTACTATGACTTTCTGCATGTATGGTAGCTTTCACATAACATGGTTTCCTGAATTTCAATAAAGCTTAACAACAGAGTTTACAGATGGCAAAACTGAGACTGAAAAAATTGTCAAAATGATGCTCAAATGCTAATTATCAAGTTTCACTAAGCTAATGAACAGAGCAGTTAAAAGTTCTATAATTACTTTCTTTTCAGCGGCTCAAAAAATGTCCCTCTTTCAAGCCCAATACATAACCTTACCGGAAAGAGAAACTTCATTTTGTGAAAATAATGCAAGGGAATATGAGAACTGATAAATATTATGGGGAAAGAAACCTGTATCAATCCCCTTGACTTGGTCAAATGCACTCTTACATCAAATTTGAAATTGTAACCCTTTTTTGTATCTTATCATAAAACTTTGGTTGCAACATGAAAATGGATAGCCATGGCAGGCCATCTTTCTCTTTCAAGGTGTATCTGTTCATCAAATTCACACCTCTCTACCTTATCCAGGACACAATCAAACATGCAGCAGCTGAAAATTTAAAAACCAGAATTGTCACATGCAATGAATTCTCCTAAATTGGGAACACTGGGTGTATATGGGTTGAGAGGCTTTGCTGACACATCAGAGTAGCTCAAGTGCCAGGAACAAGTGCGGTTATGTTAGTGCAGCTCTCCCCTCTACTAATTCGTCCCATCGTGCTAAGATGGCTATCTTATTCCATGGCCTGTTTTATAACATACTCAATATGGCATATGCTAACTACCAACTCAATAAGCAAAATTTAAGGCACGTTTTGTGTCTGTGCTTTGATTACAAGCTCCTTGGAATGACAATTCTTCCTAAATGTCTGAAAAACTTTTTGTACATTTTGAATACTTTCATAAACAAGTAATTTGGCACAAGGCAATCCTGTGAGATACTTCAATTCTCTGTACATTCTTCTTGACTATACAATTCTATTATCCAATTTACTTTTGTCTAAGTTGAAAGAACACACACTAAGATGCAACTGAGGGATGCAACAACAACAAAAAATCATGACCACGTGAGAACAATGAACTGTAAGGTGATTAGTATTTTTAAAGTGCTATTGTTAAATATATAAAATGAAAGAGATGGCAAGCAATTCAAAAGCAAGTTGAATATGAAGTAAGAGAGATAAATGGACTTTGTTTTCCTAAATTTATGATGAAAAGACAGTCTGGTAGTACATTGTCTCCTCCTGTCATTAAATAAAGAAAATTGTAATCTGTACCCTAATCCTCTTAAATTCATCACAGGACCACACAAAGACTGACACAATACATATTCCATTAGCAGATGTTGTTACTCTTTACTCCAACACTGAAAAAGAAGAGTTTTGATTTGATGATAATAATGTAGAGAGTCTTCCATGTCTCTTTACCCCACTATGATATGGAGGGCCACAGGCCACTAAAACTTTAGTATTTCACCACAGAATAAGCAAATAACAGCCTCTTACACCACAGTTTCAATCACTTTTTCATCTGTGTTCTCACTCTGGCCAGGTCTAAAAATCCATTCTCCCCTTGTAAAAGCATGGGTGTTGACTGCACAAACTCATCTCATTTTTGTTACTAACAAGCAATAATCAAAAAGAGCAACACCATAAGATTTCCATAAAAATTTCAATTATTACAATAAATACCAAGTTCTGTGATGATCTAACCAATAACTTAAAAAAAACCCTAACATTTTTATTTAAAATGAAACAGAGTGACAACATACAATATTCTAAACCTTCCCCCTTTAAAATTGCAATTTGGTCAACCAGTTGCTGATTAGGTTTCATTAAATGTTAATACCGTATTACACTTAAATTACCTCGCCTAGATAATTACCAAAGAACCACTAATGTCAGATCAGCCACATGGCCAATATTACTAAAATGCCCAAATTGGTCTTCTAGCGTGTCCCACTTGGAATGCAGCTTTGCAGCAGTCTGCCAGGAGCTGCAGTCCTTCACTAGCTGATAATGCCATCCGACAAGGGCCTACAACAGCTTTTACGATGAATTCAAGTGCTCTGAAGAAAGGGCTCACAAGAAAGGGCTCACAAAAATGTGCATTTATAGCAATCTGCAAGCAGACAATATGCCATCAGATCCTTTGGTTTTAATAACGTTCCCTTTGGAAAGTGAATCAGTTGACGACTGTTCCAATAAAATAACAGTAAGTCATAGTCTAGACAAGGCATAAACCACTGTCTATACTGTTTGTGACAACGTCCTTGTTTTTCTTTCTTCCACACTTTTTTTCCAAAGACCATGCAGTGAAGGCAATTTGATTTTATCCATATTCTTACTGTAAACATTAAGAAATATACCAAGGACAACCAGTAAGCCTGACCACACATACCTAAAGGGAAAGGAGAGGAAGGGGAAAAAAATAGTTACTATTAACACTTCATCTGTAGCAATTACATTCCAGTATTTGTGGATTAAACAAAAATAAAGCCTCTACATTAAGGAGACAAGACCACCACCCCCTCTCCTCCCAATTAGTGGACTCTGACAGAAATTTGCTTGGATCTTTATTATTACTATCCTTCCACCCTTCCTTTTCCTGTCTTGGCTGGAGAGCTTAGTAAGGTGCATTTATAGTTAATAACAACTAAACAGTAGCTGTTCTTCCTCACATGAATAAAGTAGTCCTGAGAGGTTTTGGTATGTTTTCCTGCCTACAGTTATGAGAGCTATACTCTCTATTACTGGTCCAAAATGTGTTCTCACTCAGTGCCTTATATCCATACTTCCCAATGAAAGCACATTTTTGTTTCAGCTCTCCATTATTTTAAGCCTCAAGATAACTGGAGTAAATTTCATTTGGGTATTTGGCTGTAAGCTTTGTTCTTAAATCTCAAATAAATTTATACATAGCAATAAGATTGAATAGCATTTTGTTTCAGACCAGAAGCAATTAGGATCAATGTAGCAACTTAGCTGTATTTTTCAATGTAAGCTCTTCCTTGAATTAAAAACAGAGAAGAAACCCAAGGTCAAAAATCTTGCAATTTAATATATCAAGATAATAGAAGCTTGCAGTCATTTAAAAGGGCTAGCTAAGAACTCAAACCTGAGCTCATGAAAGTAGAAATGATACCGTAATGGAGAAAATGTCTACCTTTAGCCAAAGCTTCCTCTACAGAGCAAGTACCCAATTTATTAATTATCATAACCACTAGATATTATGCAAGATTTTTCTTAAAAGAAACAACTAAAAAAATGCCAACACATGGAGCATCTTGTCTTCCAGACCTTTAGAAAAATGGAAACTATTTTCTCTAGCATGAATAGCATCAACAAGCCAGTCAATACTTACAGCAGATTGCCAACATTTGTAGAAGATATGAAAAGCATTAAATCCTGAATATGATTACTGTTGTTATATTTACATGATCGAGAACATGATTTTTTTATAAAATATATCAAACCCCATTTAAAACTATAAATACTTACTGTAACGTGAATGGCTTTGCAAAGAACAAAAAGGAAAGCACAATGGTCATTGCTTTTCTTCCTGTTGTTACTGCAGAGGAAAACAAATATTTACTTTAAGAATTCAGTTACAGCAGAACATAATATAGACTTAAATATTAGTAGATAACCTTGTGACATCATTTTAGACAGACACTTAATTATGATCATCCTTGGTCCAAACATGGACTGCAAATGCACCAGTCCAGTGCAAAACAGTGCTAGAACCATATGCTGTTTGAAACATGTACGCTGTGTCAGTAGTATCAGCTCCAGTCACAGTATCTGCAGCAGGGAAACTTCCAGAACAAGACTTACTATTTAATAAGTTCATGCTAATCAATTCACAGTATCTAAAAGCAACAAACAATCCTTGCAAGTAACTGATGCATAAACTAATCTGTTAAAGCAGAAAAAAGTGGTATCAGTATTTGGATACATCAAATCTCTTGTCATTTCCACTTCATGTTATTACAGTTCAGTGGTGTTTTGGGCTTTAAGTAGAACGGGATCATTATCTTGTCATTCTTTTGAAGTTACTGAAAATTTACCTAACAGTCCAGAGATATACAATTTTGGTTAAAAACCTAGGAGACCAAGGATGTCTGACTTCAATGGTTACATTAGGAAGTTTTCATCAAATCCACTAAGAGACCCTCTTCTAAATGTGATCTTATCACTACAAAGAATCAAGGTAGTAAGAAGAGCTGAGAACATAATCCTGTTATCAAAATGGAAGTGAACTACCTGTTTGGGTTACTTTCAAATTACTATAGCTCCAACAATTATTTGAACAATTTCAGTGCTATCTGCTATGAACAAGAATACTGCGTTGCTAGCAAACTGTGTACTGGGAAACCTATATAATTTACCAACGAAACAAAATCAATAAATGAATAAAAGTTATAGAAAATGTTGTGGTTTTTTTAGCTATGTTTAGCTAAGTTTAGCTATGAAGGTTAAGGGTCCGAGAAGGTGTTATTCAGTATGACAGGGCAGGCTTCTCACTTAAAGACCCCAATACAATTCTCTTGACCTAAAGAAAACTATGGTTTTTATTAACAGAAAATATTTTGCTTACCATGAAGTACTTTTTACTATACTGTACTGGAAAGCCTTACTTGTATAACATACTAACAAAAGGAACCAATGACTACTGACGTATTTTCACACTGTTACGGCTAGAAAAGCAAGTTTCATTCTCCCTAACCCTTCCCACACAAACATTTACTTAAAAACATGTTTTGTAGTGGAAGAAACAGCCTTTGCCATTGCTTCACCTGCCCCAATCTCAACTTTTTAGTAACAATTTTCTCTACATTTTAAGAAATTTATGCGCATCAAATAAAATGATTTTCTATTACATGAAAAATTAAAGGAGAATGAAAAAGAAAATTGAGTTTTAATTAGGAAACAGTTTACAGATGAATAATTTAAAAAATGGTTAAATTACTTCAGTTTTTCTAATTACGATTATTTCTGTTCTTTCAAATCAGTTATTAATTAAAATATTTATGTAACCATTTCCTTCTAAATTAAGTGCCTTTTCTTCTTTTTCCCAATTAAGTCTGATAATTTCTCATTCTGCTAATAGAAATACAATTTTCATTAAACTCTTTCACCCCATTCCCCCCCAAGAAGGGGGAGGATGGATGGGGGGTGGGGAGGGACAGTAATGAATGTGGTGTTCTTCCAAAGCACAATAAACATTTTCACATTGCTACAGGCAAGACTGAAAGGGCTCAACTGTTAGCATTGTCAAGGTCAGGCATAAGAAAACCTGTGAAAGGTTTGCTATTCCACAGCATTTTAAAACATTTTTTAGCCCAGTAAGAAGTTGTTTTTTTTAAAGAGCTATTTTAATATATGAACCGACCCTCTCATCTGGGCCAAATTCCAGTGAGGAGACATACCAAACTCTGTTAAATACAAATGTGAAAAAGAAGTGCCGCAGAAGAAATAGTTCACAGGAAAGCAGAGCATGCAAACCTCAGGTCAGAAGACAACCGCTCATATTTTCCTCTCCACTACTGCGAGTGAAGTACAGCATCACTTGACAGAGAACAGCTTTTAGGGGTAGAGGGAAGACGGGAAAGTAGCTCCAGAGCATCCTGCTACACCTTCGCCTCCCATGCCCTTGTGACAAATATTTGTAGTTTTAAGAAAACGTAACTCGAGGAAGACACAAGCCTAGTGTATCTGTTCTGACAGACTTGTAATGACTATAGAAATGATAAAAGTTAAATAGGCCATGACTGATTTTTGAAAAATACATTCAAGTTACATTTTAAAGTTGGAAGCAACAATTTTCTACAGACAAACAATTTTACATTCCACAGCAGCTGCATATAGTGAAGAGTAATAATTTTAGGGACAGCCTGAAAACACGTGTATAGGAAGATGATGAAAACTGATCAAGTATCAGATGTTTCCTTTAGTGTTGTTAGATAGATAAAATAAGTTAATATTACAATTAACTGCTGTTAAAATGAACAGCAGGGTCATTCCCCCTTATTCCAACAGTTGAGTATATTCTGATATGTAAACACTTTAGTCATGTGGCTGTTTTACAATTTCATAATAATAAAGGCTAAAAGCATTCACTTGTACTGTGTCATTTGGTTGTAGCTGGCTTTGCCACACTCATGTAACGCCGCATACTGAAATAGGCCACGGCCTCACAAATACAAGATGCAAGCCACAGTAAACTAGAACAGACAATTTCTGAACTGAGTTTCTGTTGCATCTGTCTTACAAGTGATTCCTTTGATTTAATCATGTTCTATTACTGCTTCTTCCATTAAGGATCTCAGGTAGACAAAGTATCAATAGGTTCTGAACACACTTTCTTCTCTGAAGCCATACAGTTGTCCTTCCACCCAAAATATGTTTAGTTTTAATACTTCTCATTGTTTCTAAGGCACGTATCAGGCAATGCATTACTAAAGACCAATCATAATCAGATAACATTACAACCCAGCACAGTGCTGAGACTCACTGTGCTCAGTAGCTTCCTCATTCATAGAGATCCAATCTCAGCTAGTAGGATTTCAGTCTCTCCACATGATTTTTCCAGATGACTTAGGACTATTCAACGTGAAGAGTATGTCCAGTCGCATACAGGATTAAGAGTCAAGTCTGAATATTTGTAAAGGTTGAAAACCTATAATGACTGTGACTGCCTCTTGCTTCATACCCTCCTTTTCCTCATCCATCTGGACACATACCTGGAGCATGTCAGCACAAATAGGTCTGACTCGCATTTATTGTTATGAAAGTATTGTATTATTAGGCGAGAACACTGCATCACAGAGACTTTTTATTTGGATGTGAACTACCACAGGAGCAGACAAGATGGCATTTAGTGACATTCTTACTCTGGAGAAGATTCCAGTAACTTTTGACATACTTCAGGGACTTCTATTTTTCCACATGCAAGTGCAGCTAGCAAGACACACCAGTGAGTGGCCCAAATCTTTTCAACATATTACTGATCAGAGTTCTGTACATTTGTTTCTTCTGACATGTTTCTTCTTCATACAGTCATATGCTCTACTATGCATTTAACAGAAAACATGACTGCTTCCATTTTTGTGGGACAATTACATTGGAAGTCTGGAAGATCTGAAAGACTAGACAGGCTGCTTCTGTCATTAACAATAGGTTTGTACCTGTCCTGTGGATACTCAAGTTGCAATTTAGAGATAATACAGCAGCTGTCACACAGTCCACTAGAACTTTGTTCAGTTCAAATCCTGACTTCCAAAACTAATACACACCCTTTATTCCCTTCAGTTTAATGAAAAGAACTTGAGGACACCATGACAAAAGTCAGAATTTGTTCCATTCATGTTCCTTCTGAACTAAGTCTGGAGTGTACATTTAATGCTGCCACAGCAGGATTCCACTGAGAGTGTATGGACATTCAGAAGCTTTGGAGGAGTTCTTCATAGTTTTTCTAGCAATACCATTTGTTGGCAATCTCCAGAAATTCCATGCTTAGAGACTATGGCCCTGCCTACTATGATCTACTGGAACATCCTTACTTTCCCCTTCACATTTCAAACAATACCTGTTTCTTCCTTACACCTTGCTATACATTTGCACTGCAATTACCCTCTTTAGAACAGCGTTGTTTCTGCATTAAAACACAGCACAGCCTATATGGGCAAGATTACTTAACAGGCTCTTCAAGATTGAAACTGTGGCACAGAAAGAACCAGGAAGCTTTCAAACGCATACTACTAGTGAAGATCCACACAAACCGTGATCAGATAGTAAAAAGAATAAAAAAAAAAAAAAAGCCAAAGTAAGAACAATTCTCAAAAGCTCTGTCCTAAATAATAGGATTATTTTATGTTTTTATGCCAAAAGCAGTAAAGATATCATTATTTCGTACCTGTTACAGCCAGAAGGGCACCAAAGATTTTAATCAAAGCTAGAACAAAGGATATGCCAAAATACCCAGTCAGGGAGAAAAGGAATGCATAACCGTAAGTCTGCACTGGATGCTGCAACAACAAAAAAAGCCTGTTAGAAAAATGTAAAACAAACCCTGAGGTATTGCAAAATGACATAAAACTACAGACTTTAATCAACTGAGCAATAATAAGCTGTTCAACAATGCATTCATGCAAAGATCCTTATTTAATTTTAGTTACATAATGAAAAAATAATAATGAAATTATAAACTCATGTCTGGTCTTGTGATTTTGTTTTCTTTTTTAAAACATTACCCTATCTTTTACATCAAAGACTGTGACTACTTGCTTAATGTATGAATTATACAGGTTAACCAGTTTACATGAGGAAAATACAACTTTAGAGAAGTGGTAAGATTTTCTAAATCATACAGAGCAATGTTTTCCAATGATGTTCTTCATAGAAAAAAAATCTTTACACCTACCTTTGAGCAAAAGGTTACTGCGGGGCTTAATCCACTAGTGCATGTTAATCCAAATAAAATATACACAAAACCTATTGAATAGGAATACAAAACCTAGAATAGTTTAAGAGAAAATAATTACCAGCTGATACTACACAAAAGGACAAAATTAAAGGCATGCAAATGCTTGGCCTTATTAATATGTTCAAGTTCTCAGAGTTGAATTTGCAGCGTTTGAAGATTTCTTTTTTTACTACGATTTCTATAATAGCTAAGTGAAAAATGAATAATAAGTGTTAGAGACATTCTTCCTACCCACAACTACATAAAAAAGGTTTTGTAAGTTAGTCCGTTAATAATATCCTGAGGTCAATGTTGACTGTGGTAAATACATCAAATTCAGGATTTCATAGCCTAAATAAAACTTGACACAACTATGTAATTTAATAGTCTGAATAATACGTTAAACGTATTTTGTTTTCTGCACAGTTAAGATCCATAAAGTGCCAGAAGCATCATCTAAGTTTCACCTGTGTCACTTCAGTTCACCTAGATGGCACACCTGCATTATGGTTATAGGATACAAGATTTTCAAATACGATGAGCTGTGGCCCAGTTCAGTACTCAGAACTGACTATACTCAGCAAATAGATAACCTCTTCATTTTGTCTGTACCCTTACTTAAGTCACAGTTTCGTACAGCAACAAAAGAATCTTCAACCTATCCTTTCCCACGTGGAGGCAACAACAGAAGCTGGAACTGCCCAACCATACAGCCTCCCATGCAGCAGGAGACATTCAGCTGTTTGGGCAACATTTAGTGTGCTTTTCTTGTGAAAAAGAGAAACAGTGAACAGAACTGTTATACGCATTACTAGCTAAAACATGCTGATCTACTACACTTTCAAAACTCAGTGTCAATTGCAGGCCTACTTCTTCTGACACAGGTTTCATCAATTGTTATACTATCTCAATTATTTGCAAAAATAAATCTATTAACAATTGATAACAATAACATGAGACAACAGAACACTACTCTACAATAAAGAAGGATGAATATACATTTCAACAGCAGAACTGCTTTCAAACTCTTGACAATGACCTGATCTTCAGAACTCTTATTTTACAGCGTTTATACACACATAAGTTAGTCTCTAGTTCTTCATTTGCCTCTGCATCCAGAGTTTTCTCCCAAACTACCCAAAGACCTCAGTTTTCACAACCAGGAATGAGCACCACATTGCTAGTTCCTTGTTAGGCAGTGTGATATACGTCACTTCCTTAGAATCATACAGAAGTCAAAATCAGGTATAACCTGCCACAGCAGTGGTTCCTATTTCAGCCACAAGACATCCTTTATCTTTCCATTATTGCTTAATCCAGGGTAAGTTCCAAATTCAGCATCAAAACAAAGATCCTGTGGATGACAAGATCCTTTACTGTTCAATTTTATTTCCAGATCACGGTCTATTAAACATGATCTCCAATTCAGCAGATGTCTTACATTTTTACCCACAGTCTCAAGTCTAGAAAAATGGTTTCTGAAATTCGGCTTGTACACATATGCAAGAGAAAAGCAGATTAAGTTTCATGTTTTGTTATTTTATGCCTTGTCTATCATAGCACATGTTCTTTTAAAATTGCAAATCTGCTATTTACCATTTCTGAATTAGAACCATTGTGCAACTTCATAGCTTTTTCCTGTACATTTCCTATAACTGCATCTGCGCAGAGGGCAAGGGATATTAGGACCACACCTAATATGAGAAAACAAACAAACAAAAAACAGTTCAGAATATTTATCAACAGAGTAGTGACAAAAAACACTCTGTACTTATCCTGAAAAAAATATAAAATCTCAGGAATAGAAAAATAATAATAAAATCCTCTCTCCATCATATTCTAAATGTCAACAAAACTATTTCATTAGACCTGTATAAAGCATTATCCACCCCAACTCCTTCCACCAGTTGACCCTTAAGCACAGTGTATGTGTCTAGGCTTGACAGGAACATCTGGACATTGCTATGAAGAAGCCAGTTGTAACTTTTGTAGTAACAAGAGTGAAAAGATGTCAATTGCATTTATTTAGGTATTTTTAATGAAGATAAATAACCAGAGAACATACTGTTTTGAGTAGTTAATCCTTTTTTTTTTTTTTTTTTCTGACAAAGGCAAATAGAAATGTTAGATGTAATGGTAAAACAAATGCAAGAGGATTCACAATGGAAATCTTGAATTACTGAAATATTAATTTTTAAAAACTACCGTTTAGGTTTTATGTTACCCTATCTGTTCACAACGAAGTCTCTACACAGTCAATAATGTTATCAGCTTTCCAATAACAGAAATTAATAACTCTTTATCCATGCCAGTCAATTTCCCAACCTCCAAACTTTGATTCCTCATGACTGTGGCAACTGTTGTATTTAATAATGCGCACAAGCTGAAATACCACTCTTCCAAAGTAAACAAGTTTACAGAAGATATCAGTTATCAAAATCATGTTTACTGTCTGCTCTATTCTTGGTTCCTTAAAACATCCTAAGTGTCAGGGAAGAATGAGGAGTGGAAGACTAGAAACAATCAGTATTATATTTTCTTAATATTATGTTTTTACTATCAGAAGTCTCAACATAGGCATTCTGACAGACCATATGGAGTATAAACTCCTGACAGAAAAAAATTCCCAGCTCCTAGGATTTTCAGAATTGCAAGATTTAACATTTTGAAGATCAATGACATTTAAGGTGGCATCCCCTGGGGAAACTTCTGGATATATGGGAACTTCTAAACTAATGTTTTTAGTTTGGGAAACATTTATTTTCTCAGGCCAAACTTAAGCAAGTGAAGCAACAGAAAATGACATGACAACCTGAATAACGCTGGTTATGCTAAAGACTATATTGCTAAATGCTATGGCTATATTAACTACATGGATTCAGCTCTGATCCAAAGGTATAGTAACATCTCCAGCTCAGCAACAGCCTTGCTGCAGATCACATCTGTAAAGTGACCAAGTATGTCTCCATCATGCTTGTTCCGGCAGTGCTTAACAGCCCAGGCACATCAATGGACAAATGCACGGGTTCAGTACTGGATTGAGATGGGAAGGTTACCTAAGATCTGAAGTGCAAGTGAACATGGAAAGGAGAAATGTAGGGACAAGACAAATGTTAACATTATGTACATACACAGTATGAAAAGAGAATTGTTCACTCACTGTAATAGTGCTGCACCTGCCAAGCAGCAGCAGCAAAACCATTAACAAGACCAGTAACCTTATCCAGTATGTAAAGCACTAGTAAAAATGACTGGAAGAACTGGTCCTAAATTAGTTCTCGAAGAAATTAAACCTGGAGGTCTTGCACCAACAGACTTGACTGAAAGACTACATTACATTTTATTTTACACTATTAATGTGATACTTGCAGTCATTAAAATATTAACACTGCTTACACATTTATAAGCTATTTGATATTTAAAAGTCCCTCAATACATACTCACACTTGCGAGCCCCACCACACAAATGGTGTTAGACTGGTGAGTTGTTTGGAGCTTACCCGACCATTAAGACCTCTTTAATACTCCACATTTTAGTAGCCTGCCACACATAAGATTAAAACACACAGTAGAGGTAGCTAACTAATTAAAATCATCTGAACGACAGTGAAACTAAGGACAAAACACCTCAGTCTGCAAAGGACTAAACCACATGTGTACAAACAGTTTAGGGCAGAAGAATTTGCATGCAACGGATATTTTTACTGTATTTTCAGTGAAAACAGTTAACTTCTACTTACACTGTAATGCCAGAACCGTGGAAGTTCCCGTAGCACCAGTGTTTCAAGACTGTCTCCTTCTGCACAACCTTCTCTTCTGGTTTCTCTTTTGGAAGTCCTGTATCTACTATTCACAGCTATTTAAGATATCTACCACTACCTCTCTGATTTGATAATGCTAGGGGATGCTTTGAGCTCTTAGCAGCAACTCCATCTTGAAAAGTATACCTCTTCCTTAGTTACAAATATGTACCTGATCTGGCAGAAGAGAGTTTGTTTTCTTGACTGACCTCTTTCATGTGTAAAAAAACCCCAACATCTGTGTAGATTCCTTTTTTTGGTGGAGCAATACTGAAATTACATTTCAATAGCAGGGGGAAAAAGAAAAAAAAAGAAAAAAAAACACTTGTAAAATTGTTCATCCAAATAGTATTTTACATTTGCTCATGCTCCTTTTTAGTATTTGCATCAGACCACAAAAATTATGTGTTTTGTTTACCTTCACAGTATAGTTTGCTCTGTGAAATGTAAACAACTTTGTTCTTAAAAAGTTAGTAGAAGTTCTATGAAATCATGCTAGAATCATACTAGTTTGCATGGAAACAGTTCTACATCAATGTGTATAAATCACTGGAATAAACTCAGGAACTTATGGGGCAGTAAGTAGGCAGTAAGATAAAACTGCAACTTTAGAAAATAGTAATTCTGAAGTTTAATACTTAATTTGCTGTTTATGTTTTTGAAAATTTAATATCCTTAAATACTTAATTATTTCTTTGAAGGTACTCTATGAAGATATAAAATTAAATTCTGCCCCTCTGCTTTCAGTTCTTATTTTGTGATTTACATCAAAAAAAGTATAATTATTAAAAAAAATGCCATTGTGCAGAGTGAATAAAGTTTTTAATAATTATTATCACCGTTTTTACACTTCAGCAGCTACGTATTTCTGCAATAATGAAAATCAGTATACTTCTTGAAGGAAGGGACCATCTACCTCCATAACTGACCCAAGAAATGGAAAAACTCCACCTTTCCCATTATGAGAAGTTTCTTCTGGTTAAATTAAGTGACATGGGAACAAAACAAAACAGGCAGGAGGGAACAGAGACATACAGAAAGAACCGTCTTGGAAAGTGAACAGGAGAATTTTGAATCACCTTGCTAGGGGAGATCCAGACTTTTGAATTCTAGTTTTATATTCTATTTTCAGAGAACTTCCTCCAAATGGTAGTTATCTAAGTTTCAATAATTACAGAATTGTTTCGAATTTCAAAATAAATTAATAATGAAAGACAGCTCTGTTGATTCTTTGAAGACATTTAAAGATTTTAATCTTGTGTTTTGCAGATCTTTGAGGGTGTCAGGAGTTGCTATGTTTGCTGCACTTTACCTTACCCCACTCAGTTGAAGAATCAACTTTTCAAATCTTTTCAAAATTAAGTCATAGCACATAATTAAAACAATTCAAATTTTACTAAAGGAATATATTCGTGAATGCATGTAGAGGCTATAGCCAAAAATAGATGTAATGATAACATATAACTCTATAAATCAGAAACACTAGAATGTAATTACATGCTTAACAACATTATACTGTATTCAAAATATATTTTTTTCAAGTAGCCACCCAGTTACACCGCACAAACACATTAAATGCATATCAGATTATGTAATGCACAGATTTTTGTAATTTTTTCCACTACCAGTAGCACTAAAATCACATTAAAAGGCATGAGAATTAATTTACGAGCAAGGCAAAAGATATATACAGTTTAGAGAACATCACAAACTGATCATTACTAACACTAGATGAAATAGTATTTTGTAAAAACAAAAAGTCTTTTCCTTAAAACCGAGAATTTATTATTATTTTTAAGAACAAAACTTCTAAATCAGTGCCTCCACTATTAAGAAATGAAAGTTTCACAGTGAATGTCTGTCATAACAGCTGTTGTAACTCACCTCAGAATTTCAAAAGAAGAATGCACTGGAAGTTGAATATTCAAAAGTTTTTCAAGGTTAAGTATTAATCCAAACACCAGCCAGGTAAATAACATGGATTTAATGAATAATCAATTCTCCCTTGTCATTTGAGAAAGAAATTCAACCAAGTTTTTAAAGCCAAGCAAGTTAAAAATCTTATCTTTGCTTCTGATTTTACACAGTATAGAAAAGTTAGAACATGGGCACTCCAACTAAGAACTACAGAAAATCCGAGTGAGACTGTCAATTAATATAAAGCAAATGGTTCTGAAATGGAAAAAGACTTAAAGGTTTAGCTAGAAAAGACAACTAATCTTCGGAAGTTTTAAAATGGTCAAACTAAATTTTATCATAGTTATTTTAACACACCTACTGGGAAGTATTTCTTGAGAACCAGCATGAGACATTTAAACCTAAAGGGTGGAATTTCCAGCAATTATAAGAACCTAAAAACTAACACTTAGAATAAAGGCCTCTTCTGCCACAGATACAATTGTGCTAGTGCAAAGCTACGATGAAACCTGCATTTTCTGTATGATACCTGAAGACACTCCACCAAGAACTCTTAGAACTTCTATGGGATGCTTATTTGCAGGAAAAAACCCAAGCTTTTTGTTAAACTCCAAAATATAATATATCTTTACCTGTCAAGTTGAAGTTTGGAGCAACTGTGCTGTCAGCTAAAGTAAACCATATTAATCCAAGACTCATACATAGGGCAGCAGACACATCTGCAATATTATAACGTTTTCCTACAAAAGCAATACAAACAACATGAATGGACTGTTAGCACTCTCAGAGTTTCATGTTTACACTGTTTAACAGACCAGAAGGCAAAGGAAAAACTGTTCTAACGTCATTCTTTTACTTGAACAGAAGACTTAATGCTCTGGCTTTTACGACTGGAATTAGTTCCTTCTGCAATAGCAGTTCCTAACACGGGTGAGGATCTTAACAGATAATACCTGATTCTTGTGATCAGTTTTAGTTTTACTCCTAATGACATAAAGCACATGCTCCCTGACAAAGCACCATTTCAACAACTTCATGACAGGTTAGACGTTTTCTTAAGATTTTTCCCTCATGCAAGACATTTTGGCTGCCTTTATTGGTTAAGAGAGGTCATTCCCAAACACTAACAGATGATTTGGGTACTTTTACAATCCTACACTGTCTTTTAGTTTGGGAGAGATGGGATGTGGGGGGTGTGTGGAAAAAGAGAGTAGGGAAATGAAAAGGCAAGAGTTAGTGTATCTTGCTTGAAACAACATATACCTTGTCCAGAAGCTGTGCTTTCAAATGTAAGCTTCCAAGGGAATATTTTTAAAACTGAAAATTTTAACTGAAAATTTCTAAAAATAGTAAAAAAATCCTAATTAAAGGTAAATACTGTGCATGCATGTGTGTATGCAACCTTGCAACCTCCTCTGAAAGTTCAGCCTTCTATTGCAACTAGAAGGCCAGAATTAACTACAGAAATAGAAATATATCATTCTAGATTCTGTTACATAACACTTGCTCATTCAGAGCTTTACTGACTAATGAACCTTTGTGTATTGAACAAATAGAAACTTTTATAACATACTTAAAGTCTTCTAAATCCAGAAATACTGAAGCATGTTTATTCACATAACTATAGTCTTTATCTGTTGTTCTCTAGATCCATTTTCTATTTTTGGAATATGAACTCTGACTTTAGGACTAGCCAAAGACATGTAAAGTCAGGTGTATTTCTGATTAAACGCTTAATCAAAATTTAGGAATTTTAATTACGAATTCAGGAATCAGGCTTTTCGAACAAGAAGAGTAGAGGATTTCTTCACAAATCATGGCTGGACTTCCCTTCCTCCACCTCAATTTTTCCATTTCAGTATTGAAAATGTTTCATTGATGAAGTGATTTGGTTTAGAAAACAGTTATATTGCTTAAAAATTAAGAAACTCTGCATAAAAATGAAGTTTTGCAAGTGATCTTGCAAAAAAACCTTCTCCCACACTTTCTGTTCATCTAATTCTATTTATACACTTTCTGAGAAGATGCTTCAGAAATTAACTTTTTCTTTCTATAGGAAAAATGCTACCTGTCCCTCTCTGAGAGCCTCAGTGGAATTTACAAAGTAAAGGATTCCATACATGAACACTTCCCAAAGAAACGACAAAAAATCATCTAATAGCAAGACTAACACTTACCTTGTATCAGAACCCCTCCTATCATAACTGGAATCAGCTTACAGCACTTGAAGATGACTTGAGTAGGGTAATTCAGATATCCTAAAGAGGTATTTGACAAACCCATAGTTCCCACTGTTAAAAATGCTATTATCATGTAGGTTTTTCCAGGAATTCTACAAAACAGAAACATATGAATCTTGGTATTACAGACTCATCTAGATGTGATTTAGCCTGGAAAATTCTGATAAAGGAATATGCTTATATATACAATTTGACCATCTTTCTCACTAAATTTCATTCTGCAATAGAAATTTAAAAATGCACATAAATAACTGATTCCAAATTTCATTTCTTTCAATTACTGCTAATAAACAGCATTCAAATACAAAACAATAAAAACTTCATGGCTCATGAAGTATTCAAGCAGTACTTCTTTAACCTCCTTCTGAGAAGGTGTATTATTTACAGAACAATCAAGACAAAGGCTTCAGGTTATTTGTCAAAAGAACCAGAAGGTTGGTATACCAAGATATCCTGAATTATAGTCCTGTCATGGTCAACATGAACACTGACATTTTTAGAATGAAGAAAGCTGAATAAAGTACCACTGTTTTATAAAACTCAACAGACTAAGAGAGAAGTGATTCAGATATCACGAACAGAGGGGCTCACTGAACATTTTCAGAGATATTGTTTGCAATTTGATGAAATTACCACCTGACAACAGATGATCCAACAGTAATTTTTAGCAATCGCTGTGCTCACTTTTGTGATTTTTTACAGTTATTGTTGTGCATATGTTCAGCTATTTTTTCATGCATCCTCAGAGCCACAGTAAACAAGATAAGGAGATGTCTTGCTGTAACTGTCTTATCCATAACTCATTATGTGATGTGAGGAACACAAAAAAATTTAAAAGTTTAAGAAATGGAGAATTCTGCATAAAAAGTAGGAAATAAGATTTTTTTCATATCAACATGATGTCTAGGTTATAGAAAATAAAATGTAAAATATATTTAAGATCTATATTTCCAAAATAACTTACAGGGTCATGCTCTGTAAGCATTAGCAACTATTTGGTAATCAAAATCTAAATACTAGTTACAGAACACCCAAAAGCAGTATTCCTTGATGCACCTGAAAAAGTCAGATAACTTGAAATATAAGCTGTCAGTGTTTAACATAAAGAGAATAATTTATCAAAGTTACAGTGTTTGGCTATAAAAGAATTCTATTGCCTAAATTCAGTATACATAAAATCAGCCAAGGTTGACTGCAGTAAGGAAAATTATATGCTCAACTAGGATATAACGCTTTAAAGCAATTGTAAAATTCATGTACACCATGACAGCCTCTATCCAAGATTTCAGAGAGCCTCAACATAGTTTGCAGAGGCTGTAGTTGGGCAGGAAGCCATAGAATGGCCACAGTGAATCAGATCAAACTATCCCATATCTATGATTCAAGACAGCAAGAATCTCCTTGGTCAACTGCAGTGAAAACACAGAATTGTTTTGTGGCAAGATGTTATAAGTGCTATCTTAAATAAAAATGTAAAACCTAAGCACATCCTTTGTAGCAAACCTACACAGTCACATGGAAACAAAGAGCAGACCTCTGACACTCTCCAAGATGCACAGCATGTTAGAGGAAACTCTTAGGAGGTGCCAAGGTTTGAGGAAAAGATCCTGATGCGATGATGTGACAGTTGACTCCAAGTGCTGTGATGGCCCTATTCTAGATGTGATAATCCCAAGCAATACATACATGAGTCAGCTACCTTAAGGACAAAATACGCTCTGTAAGTGGGACAAAGTGACAGTAGAATCAACAAGATTACTTATAAATCTGAAATCTAAGTGGGTGCTTATAAAACATTTTCTAACGTTGTCCAGTAAATTCACATTATTTTAACTACGGAACTTCTACCAATGCCTCACAATATTCACATTCAAACAACAGAAGTTAAATTTACCATAAATATCAAATGCTTCTAATTTGATGGACAGTGGGTAAAATGCTTGGAAAAACACATACCTTCTCCTTTTGTCCTGAATCAACTGTAATTCTATTAGTCCAAAAATGGAATAAAATCCAAATTGCACTAAAGTGAGGTACCAACCAAAAGGTTTAAAACCTTCCACTGAAAATATCAATTCCTATAAAAACAAAAACCCACCAACGTCATATACATACACCAAAATGTTAAATCAAAAACAAAATGAACAGATTTTTTTTTTCTTCATGTACATGCAAATCTAGCCTTTGCAGCTGCTGGTTATTAACTAGAATTTACCTGCCATACGTACCTTGCAAAGCACTGAAAAAGACAATTTAGGTTCTCCAAAATGTAATGAGAAAATTTACTGCTGGTGTAAATCCACATGCACTGCATGAAGAATTATGCAGATGCATCAGTTACATAAATGGCTACCTAGTATTCTCCTTTTTGAGATTCTGCTTTCAGTTAACAATAACTTTGTCTAACTCTTCGGAAGTAACTATTTTAACAAATTTCTCAGCTGTTTTTTGAAAACGGCATTGGAAACATGGTGATTTTTAATTAGCAACTTCTTAAATCACGCTTTATTGAAAAGGCTCACTGAACTTAAAAAAAAAAAAAAAGGAACAGAAGTGTATCTGCTCAACATAACAAAGCAAAGGTTATCAGGAAGAGGAATGTTTAACTGAAGCAACAAAAACATTATGCTTCTGCTTAACAACCAACCATAGTACATGTTTCAGCTCCGTCCTGAAAGAAGCGCAGAGAACAACAGACTACTATTACTGTATGGCACTCTTGGAACTCAAGGGGATCTAAAGGTTTCAACACCAATGAAGACTTAGTTGTCAGTCTGTACGGTTCTACAATTTGCTCAGTTGCAGAAGACTATGAAATCACATTTTAAAAATACACATTCAAAATAATAATTGAAAGGTGTATCTTGCACACAGAAGTAAAACATCAAGTTATGAAAATCCAACTGAACCAAATCCTGTAGGTACTTGAACTATAATGGAATCTTATAGAATTACTTATTGCTCTTGAATTCAGAAAGCTTGACCTTGCAATCAATATCTATTTTAAATTTCTATACATATTAAAATACATACTATATTATTTTATTATGTTGTTGAAAAAGAAAAGGGGTAGAAGGATTTGGTCTAAGACCCAAGTTCATAGCATTTACCTGTAAATATCCATAGATTAGATAAAACATAAAAACTCCAGAAACACAGATGAAAAATTGAGTAGGTTTGTTAAATTTGCTGAGATTCATGCCAAGAACTACAACATCATCTACTGATTTGATATGAGGAGACATAGTTTGAGATTTGGAAGGTACACTGATGGAAATGTATTTTCTTGATGAAGTGAATTTCAGATCCATGATTCCTAGTTCACTGCATTCGGTGCTACTGTTATCTTCTTCCTGCTCTTTTTCTGTGTGTCCTCCGTCTGAAAGCTGAAAGAAATGCTGAAGTCAGGTAAGACATGAAATATAGCCATCCAACAACAGTAAATGAATGTGGCACTTATATGAATAATATAGAGGCTTAAGAGTTTTGTTGGATTGCTATATTCACAAATTTTATTTATCTTTTCTGATGTCCAGTGTTAACACCAGTTAATATCAGATGCTAGTAACACTTTATGAAAGTGGTTTTGCTTCCCATGGGAGGTAGTATTCCTATGCTCTACAAAACAAACACACCCACC